TATATACAGTAGGGAAGTTAGAGATTTAATGGATTACACGTTATGCCGCTTCTAGCGTGAAGGCTAACCGAGGTTATTGGAACTCGACAGTTGCAACGTCTGCTGATTCAAAAACGTCGTGCCTTCAAACGCCAATTACCTCTCATAATTCAGAGAACCGGAACTTCCGAGACGCCAGAAACATCTTGCCAACAGGACTTCATAACACCTCAGAGACTGTACAACAACTTTAATATGATTTTGTTAGTTTTTTTTTTCTTACAATCTAAGGATTACATTATATTTATGACATGTCTTTCTGCGTATAAAAGTAATAGGATTTCCTGGGCCAAACTGACTTTCTCTCTGATCGTTACACAGCCTTGAATGAGATTTGCCTGACGCGTTTTTCGGCTATATAAAGTAAGCTCTGCCATTTGCAGTGACGCGTTGATTTACACTTTGACAGATTAGTGACTGGTTAGCACATTGCACGTCTCCTCTAACATACGATATCAGCTTATTTATTCGTAAAAAGTATCGACAATTGGGCAGTTATTTCTGCACAGCGATGTTAACCTTCTGTCCGTGGTGTGGGAGTGTGTTTTATCTATTTCGAACGGTTTGCTCAACAATATAGCCTTTCGAAGTACTGACCTAGTTAGTGTCCCGTTCTGTTTCCCTGGCTGACGACACTGGCTAAACGTAGGTTTCTGGCTGTTCTCTACGCAGTGGTAACGTCAAATCATCACCGTTTCCATGGTGACGCCTGGCCACTGTTCTGGAAACTGTTTTGTGCCGCTCGTTGAATGAACCGCTATCGTAGGTGCTACTGCTGGTAGCGTGTTGCATCAGTAACGTGTTCGGATTGTTACGCGCATAACAGTCATCCTGACGAAACTCACTTTGGCCTGCCGGCGGTTGATATTGATTGTCGCTTACGCTTCTCAACGGGATTTTGTCTGCGAGTGCACGAGGCTTTCCCCCTGTACCACCTCTTGATTTTGATTTCGGTTTATTAACGACGTTCTCCTTTTCCGCCATAACATGACGTACGTTGTAAAGGACCTTAAAAAATAAAATAGCAAAAATTAATGCTCCGTTTGATCTCATGCTTGTTCCGTGCAGAGCGGCCGAAGCACGTGTTTTTCGTTAGTTGATTACCATGTGCGAACTAAAGTCTTCAGCAGCAGCAGCACTGTGAAACTTGTCCACAGCAACTAATTTCCGCGCAAAAGGGCCTACGTTTAAGGTTGCAACCTAATGTAGCGCCAAATTTCAAATGAAATTGGGAACTAGATCGTTTCGCCTGTCTGCGTACAACGTTACGAGTTTTTATTCAAAACGAGAAAATTATTTGATGGTTGTACTGGATAGCATAAGACAACAAAATTATTTTAGCCGCGCTTAGTTTGACTTCATGAAATATTGTTTTGGGTGTCTTACAAATTAGTATATACACTTAACTCTTTCGGTGGAGGAGATGGATTGTACTGAAGCTTTAGGAAGTGGATGCTGAGCCAGTAATCTCATGCGATAATTCTTACGCGAAAGCGGGAGAGAATTTCAAATCTACCAAGACGCGGATGTCCGGTTGTAGCGGAATATTAGCAGGCCTAAGAAATTATAGCTGATTCCCAGTCTCGACAAGCTCTCATTTTATGACAGGCTTCGGTATAGGATTGTTTCAAAGGTCTGTCAGGGACGGGACCAAGCAGTAATAAAGATTACTATGTTCATCGTTTCTTTTTCTATTGCTCGTATTTTTATTAGAAGTGTGTCCGGTTTCGAACCTGGGCCTCGTATGTCCCATACATTAGTAGGAAAATACGTAACTCATTCACCATTGAAGGACCAAAATAAGTAGGCTAACGCAGATCAGGCACTTCTACTTAAAAACTGCATCATAGTTTATCAACTACGTAATGTCTGCCCGGCGCCCATCGGGCCCTGATAATATCGGTTGTACCATATTACAACATCTAGAATCAGTCAATCCCAAAATACTCATAAGCTAAACCCCAAACTCCACATAGTCAATCAAAGATTCATGCTATATTCGATCTGAGCCTTGTCATAAAAGTGACAAATTCCAATCCCTTTTGAGTTCACATCGCCGATTACGAAGCTAGACTAGACTCTTTTCAGGAAAATTATGCATTCAGGTTTCCATAGAAACTTGCACTTTGGGGGGACCATCTACTTTCATTCCACCCTGGCGAAACAAGCCGTCTGTGAAATTTTTCCCAGTAATCACATCGACCCTTATTAATCGGTAGCTTTTTAAAGGACGAAGTCGCACGCGAGACGAGTCGAAATCGCGGTACTAGTTCTTCCTTTTCATAATCTTTTAACGAGCTTTGCGGTTTGCTAAAAGGATATAGCCGGACACAGGCCTTCCTGCGCGCCCTCTTTACTCATGTCAACTTGTGGGTTTGGAGGTACCTTCTAGCAGTAGTTTAATAATGCTATTTTCATTATTTTTCTCACTTTACATTTTTACTAACGGCGGGATTCTCCACGCGCGTTCGAACCTGGACATGTGTGCCAACGGTTCTTCAAGGATCTTTCACAGGGAAGCATCTATACACAGACAGAGGACGCTGGCAATGAGCCTAAGGCATCAGATTGTTCAAGCCCCAGTTTGAAAGCAAAAGATGCATCAAAAAATTAGTAAAAACATGCTACTACGCTAGCAATATCGAAGAGATATACGAAAACTAAGTAATTACAAAGTCCAGGGCGCGCACCACATGGCTTATCAGATCGCAGAAAGGCACTATATAGCCAAAGGCTATAGGGCACCCTCACACGGTTGGTTTTACATACAGTCTACAGTCGGTCTAGAAATAAAAACCGAAAGTGGCGACGGTAACGCAGCTATCTATAAAACCCATCAATGTTGCTCATCTGGGAGAGAGGGGTGGACATGGGACTTGTAGGAGCAATGCGATCATTCTGTCCAAGAACTCGCTTGCTCAACGCATGTTCCTATCTGTTAAAAGAAATGTGCACTTCGTTTATCACATTATCGACTGGTAGAGACTTACTAGTTAAAAGCTCCGACACTACTGGTAGGAAGGGTGTCTCTGCCATGTCTGTCAATAGAAGATATAAGGGAGCACAAGATGAGATCAACAGTTGCTTGCTCTGCTTAGTAGGTGCCTGCAAATGTCTTGCATACCCTACGAGTAGCTGGGTAATTCGTACGAGCACCAACGACCCATACATAGAGTATTAAAACGATCCTCACGTATACACGCGTTCACGCGAAACGTATTAACATAATGGCCGTACTTGTTCGAAGCGTTCCTTTAAACAGCGTTTGTTACGAGTCTCGGGAAACTTTGGCCAAATTCAGGCCGCCGCACACAATAGCTGAACGTGTTTTCGATCTCCGATTATGCGATTCTGAGCTAGGTCACGATTGAAATTTTCATAGGTATAGAATGTCGATGGGTTTGGCTGCTGAACCCGGTTGTGGAGCAAGATCATGACGCCAAGTAGCTAGTGTTGAAAGAACGTACAATAATGAAATAATTGTTGATTTTTTACTCCTTTCAGGTTGCCTTTAAACCTATTGATCAGAAGTATGTTCTCGGTACATTCTTGGACTCTTATAATGACATCTATACCTATGATAATTTATTGGTGAATTATTTTTTAATTAGCATATTAAATTTTAACTCAGTAATACTATTGAGATACAGCCGGCGTTGAATCAACATATCCCTCTAAAGTATATGTGCGATATATCTCAGGTGGGGGTATACAATACTACGCGAACACCTGCACAAATAAATAAGTGAGAAAGTGAGTGACCGAAAATAAGTGAGAAGTCTATAGACTCGCCTGTATGTATCCTATGAGCATGCTGATACTTAAAGAAAACAAACAGTTTTCGATATGAGAAAAAGTCTATCATTCATCGTACCTTTTCATCGCTGATATAGCAGAAAAATGCAGTGCTGAAACAAACTGCCGACAGACGAAGACCCGCAGCGCAGAACTGCAGGGTGTCATGCTGTGCGAGTCCTTTGAGGGAAAGCCACTTCAATGCAAAGTAGGGAATCTGGAACGGATATAACAGCGGCCACTTGTTATCCACTTGAAACAAGTGATATTCGAGTAAGCGGGCATGTTGTTTGTTACTAATAGAAATATGAACGTGTCATAGGGGATACGAAACGTAGATAGGCAGAGGCAAATAACACTCTTCGGTCTTCATAAATGAAGCATCATTTTGAGCCTCGACAGTCATTGGTCGATCACAATTATTAACTCAAATGTCTTTTTAATGCACATCTAACAAGAACACAATGTACGGTTTGATGTCCAACTCGGCTGAAGTTACTGTAATCCACAGCGAAGTAGATAAATAACTGCGGACAAATGCACATGAGACACGTCCTCTGGGTGAAATGTATGTCTCGCTCTTGATTCTGTGAAAATACTAACGAGTATTATTATTACATAGTTGTTTGATGAATTACACTCAGGCGTTACCATGTTATTATTATAGTTTTGCATACTCGACAAGTGACGGACCAAAAGTTCCAACGTTAGATAACTATGCAAATATCTACTGAATCTTCAAGTTGTTGTGTGCTTCTTATACCAATCTACCAACGTACCTGGCAAAGTATATAGATTAGCATGAGAAGAGAAACATGCCGGGTGGACTTCTGTGTTCGTAGCAGGACATGTTCGTGATACGTCGTCTCGATCCGTCGTGCGCTGCACGCGCAGCAAATGATCAAAAGAATCGCGATAATCGTTACTGAAACGGGGACAACTATCAGCACGAACGGGCCAAAGAGTTTCTCTGGTAGAACAAAGAAATTTCGATCAGATACTATGCATTGCTCTCGCATATAGTTGCGGAATGTTGAGTATGGCACACAGGCGAGTATGCCAAAGCTCCAGATGCCAAACGAACCGACAGCGTACGATCGCAGACAGGTCGATTTTGCCATGTTCTCGTTTCTAAGACAGCTACGACGAATCGCCGAAACGTCCTGCAGGATTAGGAAGGAGGCCACTGTCAACGAATAGACGTGGACGAAGTAGCCGAGATTTTCGGCAAACTCGAACCAGTGGCACATAAACGGGCCAAGCGTCCATCTCATGTTTAGATAATAGAGAGCACGGAACGGCGCACCCAGGCTAGCCAAGAAGAGATCGGCAAACGCCATGTTTACATAGTAAAAATTGATGGGACGCGACCGCAAGTTTCTGTAGCGCAACACGAGAAAGATAATCGTCACGGATCCACATATAGACACAACAACGAGGAAGAAGTAGGCGATAAAGAAGAAGGTCGCAATCATATTCTGCATCATATATGGAGTATCGGCAATGCTATCTGCCTCGTAGTTCTGCACCGCCATCATTGACAGCAAGATGTGTTCCATAAAACGTATCTGACTGGAAACGAATACAGGACTAAGTTCAAGTTAAGGTTCTGTCGAAGCGGGCGGAAGGGTAGAAGAGCTCTCGTGAAGAGGTCAGCGTTGATTTTTGCGGCAGCATCATTTCTTTGCGCTATGTTGATTCGAATGCAAGCGTATAGTTGAGTCTTTGCATTCGTGTATTAAATTGCTATACTACCCGTAAGAATGTTTTCCATTTTTGTTTTTCTATGCCCGTTTTCTGAAAAAGCAAGATAGAAATATTGATGTTAGGTTTTTACTATGTGTTCCCTTGCTTGCGGTTACTGAGCTGAAATTAGATTAGAATTGATCCGAGCGTCTCTTATTAAACCATATTATGCCCTTATTCCCGTGCTACCTTATTTCAGATGTTGCGAGCATCGGAACAAAAACGCGTACTCCGAAACCACTCTATATTAATAATGGACTCATCCCCTTAGCGGCGTGCCTAACTCTCAAGAGAGTTTTATTCAAATCGATAAAGTATATAAAAAAAGAAAACTGCTAAGGTAAGTGTACGAGGGCCTCGTACAACTTCTACCATAGAATTCAGTTAATAAAGCCACACATTTTATAATTAATAGTATACATAGCAAACCAAAAACGAAGCATAAGGATTAAATGTTTGATACCCGACGATAGATACGTTACATGACGTGTTTCTAAGCAGTTACCAGATGCAAATATATAGAAACAGATTCGCAACATGTATATGGATATGCAGACGTGATAATAGGACGGATAACAGCAGCATAAAGTCCTAAAAACATATTTGAATTCGCAATATAATTCGAAAATGCGCCAGACTCTTTCTGGCTCGCCACAATTATACCTTATACAGTGGTCTGTATCTTAGTCAAACCACAATATAAAGGCTAGTGTGCGACAGAGGTCCGCGCCTCCTACACGATCGCGGCATTTAGATAATTTCCTACTTGGAATGTAGACTTTTCTAGAAGGTCTATTACAATCAATAGGTGCCCTTCCATGTGAGGAAATGCTAGTTAATGTGTTATTCCAGGTTTTAGGATTGGGTCCTATTGACCAATTAGACTCTTTTGGTGTCCTTCAGGATTCAATACATATATGTGCATATAGATACTTGCACTTACACCTTTATTTCATTACATTTTCTGCAACATGTCCTACAAGTGATTACGTTTATTAAGTGTAAACAGCTTGAATTCGAGACGGAAACCGTTAATTACTTCCTTTCTTCTATAGATTATGTTTCAAATAACTTTTTAATAATAAAGAGCGATATTACTAATGTCTTGCTCAAATATGCTAGATTTAATAAATTCAACGCAGTTAAAGTTTGCTGCCAGGAAGTGGAAAATCTCAAAAATTAAGAGTCCGAAACGACTACTCTTTGGAATTTATCTGGACGACCCAGTCGACAATTCATATTTTCCTTTTTAAAAAAATTTCCTTTTAAATGGCAAAAATATAGGTATATCATGGAAATGGCTTTTTGATGAGTTTTCGAATTCCTGAACTTAAGGCCTTTTGAGGATTTACCGGTTTGCCTCATGCAAATCTTCTTGGACGTGTTTAAATGCCCCATAAAAACTAGCAACAACGTAGACTTTGAACTTAAGACAAAAAATTAAGTTTTTGATGTTATTCATCTCGGTGAGGCTCGTCCAGCAGGAAAAGACGTAAAAATGCCTCTTTTTCGTTCAAACTGCGAAAACAGCGTATCGTTCCTGTCATAACGAGTGTGCAATTTGTTTTGGAAAGGCCAGTTTTATTTACTGCTAATAACAATGTTTAGCCCATGCCCGTCGCGTCAAACAACCCGCTAGAATCTGCCTCAATTTACGTGCCATTCTTTGTATATCGAACATATGTAGATATTGCACGAATTCAATGTAAAAACCCTTCATCCATCAAAGAACCTTTGCTTCACCCTATATATCGCATAGTTCTATTAGAACTGGCTCCCTTCCACGTGCAATCATATCAGGTAACTGATAAAATGCATCGGATAGCTAAAATAGAAAATCTGTTTTACACGACGCGAAGACAGACGGCCAGCTGGTCAGATTACCACACGATTCGTCACGTCCTGCTACAGCATCATGATTAAGAACGCTCTCTGCTTGGTCAGTTTGATGATGTGTAGGATAGATGCCAGTTCTTTGTATGGAGACATTTCCGCCTGCGTCATAATCAGTTCAACTTACTTATTACAATTTAACTACTGAATCTAGAATATATCCTTTATTCATTCGATTCCTAGAGCCATCCATTGTGAGATGTTATCATCGTCTTACGTATTAGTATTTGCCATGAAGGAAGTTAAGCGGTCATTATGGAGCAGTACACAACGTTGTCGAACGCATCATAATACAATCTACAACAGTTACAGTAAGTTAATTAGATCCTAGATAATTTTTGCCAGTGTCACACGTCGCATCGCACCATTGCTCCTAACGATACTGAGTTCCTAACATAATTAACGAATGCGGTTGCATTGCTCATGAGATAGATCTCTTTTTGAGTCTACGACGGTACTGACCGAGGGGATCAGTGTACAAGCCGAATATAAACAACATGTCCTCGAGGACAATTTCCGCCAACAGAAGCACTAGCATATGAGTGCCGGAAGAAACCTTTGCTTATCTATTGCACAAGGTCAATTTTGGCCGTTGGTTACGTAGACATAAACATGGACGGTCCCGACTGACACAGAACCCACATATGATCTAAATATTAATTGAATTTTCAGTGTGAGGGTGTATTAATTGGTGTCAAAGGCAGCGATCAAGTCCGAATTTAATCATGGAATGTATTTTTAAAAATTATATATACATTTGGCATGTTTATTTTTCATAAGAGCTAATTTTAGAAGAGCAGAGTTCTTATTTGGAAATTGTTAAAGTATCGGAATTGGTTTCGGGGTTACTACCTTTGACCCATGGCACTCAGATCTGCTCGTAAGAAGCTTCCTGAACTCTGTCACCGAGATCAGCAGTACTTCGAATAAGCTGTAGACTAAAAACTGTCTAATAATTACTAGTTATATTCAACCGCTCTTCTAGTGCCGATGTTTACCAAAAAGCAACGACAAAACCTTTGAGTACCCTTACTGTATTAACCCTATTTATAGTAGTTTCCCTCACTCGTCCAGAAATGGCTCGATATAGCGTACACCGTTCGCGTATCCAATGGATACAGAATATCCAGCCGTCACCCAGCTATAGCGCTTTTGACCATCGCTCACCTCACGTCCAAATCGCAACTAGCGGAATGAAGAAACGCAATGCATACTGGGAACGAATAACATCGAGTTATAGGGTTATTGCAGTTAACCCACTTCGGGCTATGTGAAACGGGTTTCTTTCAGTGTTTAGTTAGCCCATCTCAGACCTGGTATTGATCCAGCCCTCGCTCTACGGGAGCAGAAAGTCTTGCCCTGTATACGGTGTCGCCATGCACGACGTGCGAAAATTCTGCTTGCTTTACGCCTTCCAAATAGTAGTGTTCTGGCATCCCATCCTAATTATAGGCTCGCCCTTGATGTCCTCTTTTCTAAGAACTAAAAATAGATTAGACAGCGATATTGAGCCACAGAGACGTCTAAGGTCTGCTAACGGCTGCGCGCGCACGCGTATAAATAAATAAACCATCGTCAACAAAGCTCACGGCTTCCGGTCAAATGCTTGTGGTTTTATGATAAGATCGGTTATTTTTTCGAAAATATCGCCAAGTGTAAACCATCGAATAAGCTTCTTCATAGCACCAGCTGAAGTTGCAGAACAGAAACACATATTCATATCCACTGCGAGTGAGCACTGAGAAGATTATAGAAAAGAAAAGTGGCACGCAATTTAAATTTAGATGAACACAGGTATTGGTAATATACATACTGCTGAGCGTTTCAAGTTAGTACAATGTATTGAACACTGCCTCGAGTGCGGATGCTGAACTGGACTAGTGCCGCGCTATTCGAATCAAAACTATTGCCAGCTAGCTGCATTTCTTTAGGCCGTCAAAGCTGCGATTGAAACGATGAACGTCGCTCAATGGCAAACTAATTTCGGGTCGCTGGGTAATGCTTCATTTGGCTGTGCCTCTGTTTACTTGACGCCGCCCACGGTGTTGCCAGATTTTCATAGGCAGGACAGAAACGGCAGAAAACACTGAGAAATGTGTCACTATATCTCTAGCTTGACACTATCGCCAGACTGATTCGTTCGGGTGACTCCAATAGCTCGAATTAGGGCGCGTTTTTGGATACCGATGAACTTCACACAAGTCAAAATCGGAAAGTCTCGCTCCAATCCACTGACGTCTTTTTTCGTGCCATCATTACGAAGTCTCAGTATTTTAATAGGATTATAAGAGAGTTGCACTAGTTTGTGCTATAAAATGCTGATGAAAGCGACCGGGACTAAACCAGTAATAATGTGACAGAGATTTAACATACTCTACTATCCGACATCATATATACATATATATATATATATATATATATATATATATACTCTTGTGTTTAGTTACACAACGACGCCACTATCAATACAGTTATCAACACTAAAGATCCTGTCACCAAAGAAAATCTGTCAGCATAGACAACATCGGAAGATCAAAAAGTTGTTCTTTATGGACTGAGGAAGTTATCCAGCTGCGAATGTTTGACAGAAATCACAACGTTCCGGGTTTGGGAATCAACAACCTATCATGCCAATTGTTATGCCCTAATCGTTCACTCGAACTAAGTTTAACGGTAACGACTTTTACTCTTTGAACTTGAATTAAAGCAATCAGCCTTCCACTACGATCATTCAACGGTTTTCGTAAAGGTTACACATATGATAAGTGTGGAGTAGAGAATGTAAAGGGTCCCTTTAGAGACAGGATGATACAAAGATCTTAGACCTTCGGCAGTTAGATGCAGCCGTTAAGTTAACTACCCAAACAATTCACTTGACAAGAGCAGCTAAAGCAACAGTGACAAAATCATAGGCCCAACAGGAACAGAGTACGAGTGGATGTCAAAGTAAAGACAGGTAGTATGAATCACGGAAGGGTCTAGAAAGTTAAAGGACAGCGACATGACTGTTGGGTAACAAAGAGACAAACCAGGGAATTGCACGTTACTGTTGACAAATACGCGTAGGAAAATAACAGTGGGTTAAAGCGGTCTCGATCAGAGCGACACTTGAGGCAGGTAAAAAAAGCTTCCCATGTTATACAAATGAATTGATGAGTTCGCACGTAAGGGCGTGCGGTAGTCAATTGGCGTTGAGCGTAGTATAACATTTCAACCTTTGAAAGTCTGAGACAAAACCATCGAGCAACTGAAGCACCGTGTAGAAAAATGGAATAAGTAAATGAAGGATAGAATGCTGGGGGCGTTCGATGACCTAGTGCAGTTTGTCTGCTACCACTAGGGGCTGTGGGGTGGCGGCTACGGACTGTAGTCAATTTCCAGTCTTCGTCTGATAGCTGTTTACATGTTAAATGGATCCGCTATATGTAGATAGTACGGCTCGATGAATGGATACAATAGCGGGCAGTGTTTGTCACCACACCCGCATAGTGAGATGCGCTCAGACGATAAAATAAACAAAAAACAACAACTTTACTTGGGGTATTAATTTTAAAAACCACGTCAAGTTACCTTGTTTCATGGACATACTTGACCCAAATTGGCTGTATTTTGATAAGGCATTCCCTTCAGAAAATCCTGGCAATACGAATCAAAAATCGATGCAATAATGGCGTACTGCTAATTTTACACAAAAAGAAAGCCTTTCAAAATTTGATGCCACTCAAAGCCATTTACGACCGTGACCGAAGGGCTGGCTTCAGCACTAGCTCTTCATTGAACAACGCTGATCAATAGGTGATAAACCACTGTCTCAGATTATTATTTTTGACTAGGAAAAGCACAGCTGATAAACACTCACAGATGGTTGGATTTGTTAGACGTTCTTCACCCGCCGTTGTTGCCTCAAAACGTATCGATGTAATCCGTCAAAAACAAGGATCTTGAGTGCTCTTAACGTGTAGAGCACACTTCGGTCCAATTCGGTTCACACTTGAGTCAGTAAAAAAGCAAATTTCACAGCGACACACTGTACGTGTGCATAAAGTTCAATGTTTGACTTTATTCAATGTTACGTTATCGTTTCTGTAAATATCACTGATTTGGTAAATTTTGCGCCACTTTTACCCCTAGGGCTTAATAATCCATTGCATGCGTCAATCGAATTTATTCGTAGAGAAAATAGCACTAGATAAACGTAGCCTAGATTAAGGCAATTCTATCATTAATAGATTCCATATCGTACTGAGAAGATCCGTCGACAATTATCGCCCACAATTATCATTACATTAGTGTTATTATTGGCACAAAAGAATCGATCCTCCTCTCTAGACACAAACAAGGTAAACCACGGTTTATAAATGGGGGGCTAACTTTCGCGCTTTGGGTATAACTGTCGTCACAACTTCTAGCCGGCTAAATTGCTTCTTTGCTCATGATATCACCATGGCTATTGTCACTGCTAACAGTAGGACCGGCGCCCACAGCGACAAGCCGTTCGTTCCCTTTGGCTTCATCAGCCCAACTGGCGATGAACGTCATCAGTTGTCGCCCGAACCGTACCGCTGAAAGAGGCGGCCAGCAGTACGATAGCAATACCCACACAAAGAATAGAACACTTTTGTAAGAAGATTCCGCGCATCGATCGCGTTTAATGAGAATGCTGTCAATAGCTGCCCGTTGCTCCAGCTACGATCCCAGCAATGGAAAGCGGAGCCATTCGAGTCTTCTTGCTAGGTCCGACGCGCCGGCACTTCGTGCTGTGGCGACGACTGCTAGTACAGCAGCGACATTGTCATGAAAATCTAGATAGACATTCATCATCACAGCTGATAATGGCTAGATATTTCGGTGCACCGCGCCGGCGCTAGTGCTACGGTAAGTGCGGCCGTTTCCGCGCCGTACTCAGTCTGCTGAATACAGCGGTGCCCGTTTATCATCGCATTATTTCTAGCACTTTGACGACAAAGCGCTGAACAGCTGATGATTCTTTTCGTAGGAAATTTAGCCAGCTAACTATTTCTCGTCTCGATTCAGGCCGCCAGGGCCGCAAGTGAAGAAACAGTCTAAGAGATGGCTGGCCAAAGAGCAATGCAACGAACGGCAGAGAGAGTGCAAGAACAACAGTTTTTGAAGAAAAGCCAATAAGTCGGCAGGCATCAAAAAGGCTCAATTAGTTAAATGGCAGAGAGGTAACTTGATGTTTGACCTCTACTATATACGATAATAAGAGTTGTTTAGGTCATCTGTTCATGAAAAGTATGTCGTTCGATTCACTCTGAGGACAGAGAACTTACTGATGCACGACCTAAGATGGGTGCGCAGCTAAACGGTCAGCTGAATGACAGCTTCTGTTTGCAGATCAGGTATTCGCTGCTGCTTTGGCATAAATGATCGCACCGATAGATGCGGAGTATTTGAAAGGGACGTAAAGTAGACGATGGTCCTAAACAGGATTTCATTTACGAACGTATCAAATGACTCTACAGAACTTCTCGCTTGAGTTAGTTTTTATGGACCTTCGTAATGGTGTGTCTAAGAGAAATCATGGCAACCGGGGTCGGTGAAGATAATCGAATCTAGGCCATGCAAGATGAAATAAAAAAGGCTTTCAGAGTCCAACTAACGCACGTTGGAAGCTTCGAAGCGACTCTTTTTCAAGGACAACTGGCTCCAGTTCATCACGGGCAGCGAAATTACAGGGCAGAACTGTAGTCCGCACGCGGATTAATCAACGCAAATTAGACCTCAGAGCAGGGCTTTTCCTTTCACTAACGAAAGGCCTCATTAACGCATCCAACGGGTACGATGCAACTACCAGCATGCAATAAACTAACTTTCTATTTATTAATCCAGCTATCGCCCTTCGCTTACTTTCGCCGTCGTCGATCATATGAGATAAATTGCATGATACCTCAGATAGACCTCAGCCGCTGAAAACCGTTTCAGTCATTACAAGTATCTGGCGTGAGAAGATGATAATATTGAGAGCTGCTTCCATTGACATGTGAACCCCGACAGTTACACGACTTGTGCCAGTTTGACTGAGTCCGTCATCCCCGGCGGATCGATGTTTCCATGGTAACTTGCACCTCACCGGAAACAGCTCGTGCCGGTTTTATAGAGACGCGTGGCAAATTCGAATACATTTGTCCTTTGTCTCGACATTATATTTAGCATGATCACCAATAATAGACAAAGCAATCACTGATGCAGCACAAAGTAAGAAAAAAAAAAAAAGAAGTACATATTCCTATCGATAATGAAGCGGTCAATTTTAGAAATTACAAATCGTACATCCAGTTTTATGATACGGGAAGTGGTAACACCGCTAAAACAGTTAATCTTTTATCGCTCTTGTTCAATGGCTATTTCATGTCTGATTTGTCCACGTACATCTAAAGGTTTAACTCTGAAAATCGAATCGATCGCAACGTTGAAAAATCGAGTAAATAAAGGGATCTGCCTTTGATAATATATATATATATATATATGAATTTCGTAACTTTTTTTGCCCTTTGTTTATCTTGTAAGGCTTCTATAGCCTGCACGTTTGAGGGCTGTTACTTCGTGTTCTCAGATGTCTCCTTTCAAGCACTGCTTAGAAGTACCTAATGGAAAGATGAACGTCCGACATCTGCCCGCCATCAGAGCATCTGGTAGGTAAAGCCTCCACACAAGTGCTACCTCTCTAAGGGATTAACGAGAGGTGATTGGTCAAAAATGACAATAGAAACCAAAGACCAAAAGCCATTGCGTAGTCAGATCACAATGGATCAAACATGCACGTACAACCAGACGTTGTGGCATTAGGGCAGACAAACGCCCCTTAGTCAACTGCGCTTTATTTAACATCCCTCTACAAATAATAAATTCAGGCTAGCTTTAGCATTCCATCATAGTCCTTAGACGCTAGGACATTAATTTCGAAAGACGTCTGAACTATGATATGTTATGATTATGGGGATTAGTTCGGGACCCCACAAAGTGTTATTAGCTTTGATTCATTTTCACGGCATACACGAAAAATTTTGAACTAAAATACTTTTATGTTCAATTTTTCACCTCAGTTTACCTATCGTCGTTCGAAATCTGCGTTTACTCATACGCACACGTTTCCCATAGGAAGAGGGACCAACATCGTTTTGTACTGTTGACGCTAACAAGCAGAACTATCAGTCTACAACGAGTAAATTTATTATTTAAAGAAATTTCTGTAAGCGAATTCTGCAGGCGTTACGAAGCATTAGAAGCGAACTCGACCAATGGAATAGCATTCTGTGTTTTTAAAGATGAGACACACTCTCACAATATTATATGACGAAAACCTGCCTACACCATGTTACGCATAGAGCCGTTTCGAACGGTATAGTCTATACAGCATACGTTTATTAGCAAAACGAAAAAGCGGTCTGGCTTAACATTTGCGCATCAGTCGCCCCAAGAAACGTTTTTATAAACAGACCCAATGCAGGTCGTGACTCTTGTGGGCGTCGTCAACACAGCGGAATATGCCGCGTCGGAGACTCGTTTAACTCATCTGACTGCACTCCGTTCTCACCTGTGCCGACTAAAAGTTTTACATTTAATCAGGAAATTGACTAGAAATTATAATTAGCTTGCTAAGTGTTTCATACCTGATTTTTATCGCGCTTAGGAAATATCCAAATGCGGAAGGAACATTTCTAATATTTTCACAGAGGATCGATATGATTGTTTATTTGAAGTTTCGTTCTCATCAATTCCTGTGAGTCCAGATTTCTCATTGCTACTTTTACCGAGGCTGTCTGAGAATGGTCAATAGATGTAGAATTTCGGTGCCGGCGCCCGCCCTCTGCACGAGTTAGCGATAGAGCTGTCAAAGGCGTTCTGAACTGTTTATCGTGTCTCACATCCTTGAAGAGCTAATGCTAAAGGTTCGGAGCCTTAATTCGTAGCCGTGTTCCTACGATATATAGCGAACTCTTGTTCTTACAGTGTTTGTGCCTCCGATCTTATTAGACACGGACATCTTTATAAGGTAACTCAATTAAGCCCTCAGCTAGCGAATTCATGGTCTAAGATTTGAACTTCAGATTATTTGAACTAAGCTTCCACATCATGTAAATGCGAGCTGAAATTCACTAGATAGAAAACTATATATGAAAATTCTCCTGTAAAAAAGGATCTGTAGCTCCTTTACACACTTTTCAGAGTACGAATATTTGACGAATACGAGCACACATACATCACGCATGGCACTGATCAGGAATATATCACTGAGCGTCCGTCATACAAAATTGTTTTCAATACACCCCTTACACATAAGTTGCAGATAAGAAGTTCCAGACCAGGAAATAGCAAATATATGTATCGTTTAATAATTATCCATCCATTTATAATATTTATTATACCTGATTAGTATATAGAAGTATACCTATTATGTTCGATTAATCTGTACGGATATATCCATTATACTCGACAATGGAACTAACATGTTTCAATTAGAATAGTTAGATAGAAAACATCAGGTACTATACACCGACATAGTTCCCATAAGGTCTCTGAAAACCCGATCGACATTAAGTGGCCACTCCTAGATAAACATGTTCGTTGCTAGATTATGCATCGCTATTTTATATGTTGGTATATCCGGTGCTCGGGGTTAGAAGCTACTTTGTCCCAGGAAACGTTACCGACATGGCTTAATGTAAATTGTAATAGACAAGCTGATTCTTACTTAAAACTTCTGAAGCTAGCTTCGACTGAAACGGGTTCCAAACGGGAATCCCGGGTTGCATTAAACGAAATTTGTGCTCTTATTTGTTCTGATTTGATATCTATTCCCTTTGCAGCCGCTTATATTGACGTTGAGAACTAAATTTAACATGGATCTTCTCACACAATTCATACGATCAATCCATGAACTACTTCACCATTTTTATATGAAGACCCAAACTGATACCAGCAACGACTTCGGCGAGTTACAAGATCTACCTCATGATCATCTCGAAACAACACGAAAAATCTGCCCGTACAAATAACACTCAACGAAGTTCAATACTGACTTTGCCAGGCGTGATCCTTGCTGAATAGTGTAACACTGGACAACACTGTCACTTGTTGACTGCATAAACCTCTCGTAACTCATCTTCATCTCTTTTAGTTATACCACTCAACTATAGCTCGAATTGTAATAGTTATTATTATTGATGAAGCTGACGTTCCCGCTCAAGGGTCTTAACTTTGCTCACACAGTCCAAGATCACGCACTCCACAGAACGTACTACAAACGTGATCACTTTGAAACCGGGCCAGCGATGATCAGCGCGAGAGTGTCTGACCTGCCGACGTCTCGATCTGCCCAGCGACTGGTTAACCCACTATCCGCCACTGTATCCGACGTATTGAGAAAGGAGATCGAGCGCCGATACCGTGCAGACTCTGCTTTTCTGTAATGGCTACCGCCCGTTGTCTCTTTACGGGCGTTAAGTGTTTCAGGCGTTACATAGCCTTTCCTCGTTTTGTCGTTAGTTCGTTGCCTGTTGGTTAATCGGACACTCGGTCTTTTGGTGGTTGGACGTTCTCTGTTTGGTTTTCTGTGGTGTCGCTGTTGATGCTATTGCGACGGCGGCGGCGGCGGCGACGGCGATGATAGTGGTAATATTAGAGTACGCGAGGCTGCTCATCTTGCGACCAGCTCTTTTGGTACCGTTGTTGCTTCTACTTGGCAGTAATGCGTTCAGCTAAACGGTACTTCAAGTAGCTTATGAGAGAGTGGCCCCTACAGGCGGGCAGCAGCATTAGCCGCGTTGGTTGGTAAGCCGTTGCGGTAATATTTGCTGGTTTTGTGAGTCTTTCCCCTTCAATATGATATTCAGTCATCTATGTATGTAGCCATCTCGGCGCTTCGCAGACCCGAAGACTATACATCCGATACATACAGTCGGTCTGTAACGGTAATGACGAATGAACGAGCCCTTTTATTTAAATCTACACTATTCGCCCTAAGATTCAGTCAATTCTATTTGATTTTTAAACTTCTTTAAGATGTTCGTCGCCTCGGGCCTTTTGCCATGTCTTCAAGCAATAATAATATAAGTAATAGTAGATGAGCGAGTCTATGGGCCGCGTTGGGTACGTTACTTGTGGGATGAAAATCTTTCCTTCTGTCTCTTGCGCTTTCTCTTTAGACAGGAGTTGATTCGTGGCCTTTCGAGGCCGCTCAGTCAATTCCGATAGGTGTCATGACAGAGCGACAATAGCAACAGCAGTTTCAATGCTGCTACAACGACCGCCCTCCTACAAGCGCAGTGTCACTCGATGGTTTTACAACATAAATATGTCCACTGCGATCGGAAATCGTAACCTAGAGACAAACAAAGCAAACGAATAGACAGACAGACAGTCTAATGCCCACAGAAAGATAGACACCCGTCGTCGTACAAACACGTTCGGTAAATCGAGACTCCGTTAGCTAATTACATGCACCGCTGATCATCGCGGTGATCAGCGCTGGAAACGACGACGTCCCCTGCACTCCTTCACGTCCTGCGCAACGCGTTTCGTTTTCTCTTATTGCTGTCGGCCTGTTCCTCGGTGTTCAGATGTTACCCCATCCCCTCTCTCTCTCTCGCCGTATACATGTGTGTGTGAGTATGTTCGTGTATAATCTGCTACATGGTCATGCGTAAACAGTGAAGATGATAATGGTGATGTTATTGATGCTTTAGCTCGTACTCGAACGTCATCGCAACTGATCTCTTGCAGTTGCAGCAGCCGCTGTAGCGAGCAGCGTTGAAAGCCAGCAGCATCACTAACAATGCCGATGGTGTCAAAGGAAGTACCGCTGCTGTGGCTAACGCTGGCAATGCTGTGTTTACTCGTTCGTGCTGCTACACTCCAGCATCGTATGACTATATGTAGACAAATATATGGTATTTGAACGCAGCGAAAGTGAACGAACTAAGTTCTAGGATTCGATGTTGAGTGCCGCAGTAGAAGTGCTTTAACGGGAGGCCCCGTTGGCTCCGGGCGGGACATTAACAGAGCGGAGCAATGGCTGGTCGGTGTTTCTGCTATGTATATCAAACGGGGCCCGCTCCGTCCAAAGCGGGGCGCACTAGAGAAGCCAAAGGGAAAATTTCACCGGCTACATTGACTGAACTGTTATTATTGCTGGCGTATATTTCATTATTTTCCTCTATCTAGCGAAGTTTGTACATGTCATGCTATCAGAGCGCCTACCTGGATCTCACACGGCTGCTATACATATATATATATATATCTGGTGAGGGAAAGATGGAATCGAATGTTCCGATGATCCTTCGTCCATAAAATCTATGTCAGTGTAGCCTGACCCACTCTATTACCGTCGATGGCGTTAGAGTATGGAGTGGGCATCTTACTGTTGGCTGGAGTTTTTCTTTTTTTCCAATCGGCTTAAATAGCAGCTGAATGGCAGTTGAACAAGATAATCGCCTCAATCAGGGCGCGTAGGAAGACGACACAACCATGCGATAGTGTTAGGTTCTATACATTGTAGACTGGATGCCCACGAATCCTGTGGGGGTGACCACCGAGAATCGAGGAATGGCTAAGCGACCAACGCGACCACCAGCATAAGAAAAAGGGGCGAACTAGAAGATATCCGTTGTACGAATGTTGTTGATACTGAAGCTTTTATACAGATAAAGAATGACTGTTAGGCATAGCACTTGCCACGTACCGTCTCGTGGCTAGTGATCGCTGCTCGCGTATTTACTGAGACCTACACCGTAAACCTGATCGCCGATCTACTACTCAACATCTATGGTATTGTTGTATTGAAGACTATTGCAGAATCCGAAGTTCAGATTACAGTTTGCGGTATAGGGGAAAAGAACACGTGTACAAAAGTATATTTTGTGCAGTATTGTGACATCTGTGTAACAGGAACTCTATATAAATATATATACATATATGTCTTCTCACCTGTTCATTGAGCGTTTATGACAGATAATTTCTTAATATTACTTGAACGTTACAGATGCTATTGCAACTGTGTAGGTGTCTTTGATGCATTGGACATTCAACATGCTACACGTCTGTTTAATACTCACTATTACCATTGCATCAAACAGAGTATCGCATAAAAGGCTCATCTTGCCTAACTCGGTATTCCCGCATTTTTACTTAGTGCCGCGAAGCTACCCGAAAACGCTTCCAAAGCTGGTAGTCAGCGCAAATTATAGCTTGTTTTCTAGGAACTCGTTTATGCTGTGGTAAATGATGTCGCTCAATGTACGTATTGGCCATATATTAATTGTTTTTTTTTGGTTTTTATGTATTCGTAAACGCCGTAATTTATCGAAGTAATACAGTGTCCCCGTTTTAGAGAGATGACTTCTTTAAAGATTCCTTTGTCCAATGATAGAATTCATGGCTTTTCGAAACGGTCGTTGGCAGCATGGCATGCTCGTGCCGTTTTTACCTCACTGTCTATAACGCCCATCTTTTCGATTCAATTGCATATGTAGCTCTCAATGTTAACGAAAGCGATCGATGACCAATTTATATAACAAATCATAGCCATTTGCCTAAAACAAAATGTCAGCCAACAGGTACGACAAATTCGATAGCCGATGAGAAAATAGCCCGAGTAGGTTGAGTCCTCAAAAAACACAAAAAATAGTCAATTGTTCATTTATCATATACTAGATAAATTTTTCATATAGTAAATATTGCCAATTTGGAACTAATAACATAACAAAAAATACATCATCACACATTAACAATAAGCTCAATAATTTATTTTTCGAAATTGTACGGATATTTAGAGATAGGTGCTTTCATTAGACTCCATGCTCTAGGCAGACCGAAATCGCATTTCTAAAAAAAATGTGTCAAGGTCCAAAATATCTCTCAGTGTGCTACCAAATTGAATGCCTACACTTGATTAAACTGTGTTTTTCTCTTACAATCCCTGAAGCCTCAACGAGATAGAGGGCACTATGTACAGTTGACTGATCTCAGTTGTATCTCGTGGGATGGTACACCTGTCAGCACAAAACGTAAAATTTTATGTACTAACCAAATAACATCCTAATAACGGAGGTGAGACTGCGCGTAGGCCCGCCGTCCATACCTCTCTAATTCTTTCAGTATCGTACTCGTCTAGCTGTGTCCATTTACGGACGCGTGCGTTCATGCCCATGCATTGACATCGTATCACGCCCTATATACACACTTGGGGGTTTTGTCTTCTCCTACTCTGTTTGAACTCGTATGCACTCCATATTGATATTGGTTTAGGCCATCTTTTGTTGGAATTTATTCCAAAACAGGACGGACCTGATTTTCACCGCAAGGTATATTATATTCTATAACAATACGAAACAACTTACATGAACTGATTTAAGCTTAATTCGACTGTCTCGTGCAAGCAACGAGAAGTCAGTGCCATCTATTGAATTTTTACCCTCTTTCTCCTATATATATATATATATATATATATATATATATATATATATATATATATAGAGAGAGAGAGAGAGAGAGAGAGAGTTTATATATATTTTTATCGTAAAATAGTAACACTGCTAGAACTTGCAAGTTCATGTAAGCTTGGTTTTTGCTGGGTGCCACTATTGCAATTAATGCAACTTCGCACTATTTAGATTAAGATAAGCTAACATCCTATGACAATGACTAGAAGTTCACTCGAGCCATTTTTAAAATATAGCATTTTAAGCAATTTTCACTCATTAGGGTGTTGTAATAAGATATCTACGAATTACCATATCTATTTCTGAATAATAGGCTGACGCACATAAGCATTGATGCTAAGTATCTATATGTATACTTTGATACAATGTAAAAACATCGATCAACACTGTATGACGGAACTCTTTCTTATATGTCCGTGTGGCTGGCCGATATTCGGCCTTTATCGAGGGGCTGTTTTGCTGGCCTGATTTTTGCCGCTGGCTAATATCGCGTCAAACTCGACGGTGTCATCGTCGGTGTCCGATTCATCATCAGCTTCCTAAAAAAACATCGTTCGCACCCCACTGTAGATTAGCAGGCAGTTTTCAAAATATGATATAATAATCGGTAATGCCTAACCGGATTTTCGAAATCGACGTCTTTTCCGTTACGTTACTAAATAGTTATAATACAGTTTGTAACTACGATCACGATACTATAAGAAAACAAAGAAATGAGCCAGCTAAAAAGCTGCGACAATGATTAGGCACGTCCTAGTAGACTGTTAAGTGAAGTGTATGAGTAAGCAGTTAAGTTTAGAATTTAAATAACCGAAAAATGTATAAAATCAAGTAAAACTTTAGTGGGTCTTCGAAAAGAAATTGATAAATAGAAATTATTGCCTTCCTTCGACAACTTAGGCTTCTAACAGCAATAATAATGATAATGTCAATTGAAAAATCTGGATGATATTCAGCTGTACGTTTGATTGTGTAAAAAAATTTAAATAGGCCAGTGGCTGGTTCTACAAACGTATAGCTTTAGCAGAGGGTCACAAACCCGGAAAATGTTGATGGATCGCTTCAAGGTGACTTCCTCTTCGTGGTCAGGCAATTTGGTGTAGCGAAGTGGGCTGGATGTTTCCACGCGATGTAAGGACATGTATCGACTTAAATAGAAGAAAATGACGGCCCAGATGCCAGAAGCGACACCTATCGATGAGAACGTTAACTACAAGACGAAAAATGCTTAGAAATTTTAACTCTTACTTCCAATAGCAGTCTTCAAAGGATCGTAGTCAGCAAAGAACTAAACAATTGTAAAAATTCTTTTCAACGCACCAAAAATCCGAAGTGATCGTATCCAAAGCCAGCAATGAGGGTTCCACTTGCCAGGCCCAGATTCCAATAGGCCAAATAAAACTGACGTCGTAAACGTCCGTTGTCTTTGGGAAAGCTTACCTAGTGCACGAGGGGACACCGACGACATGTAACATATGTTAATTTGTATATCTCTCCCTGCTTCCTTGGACCAAGCGCATCTTATCAAGAAGGCCAGCAGCAGAGGCAACATATTGAACAGACCTGTACGAGAATTTTTTGGGTTATGATCGGTAGAAAAAATAGCATGAAGTGTATATTTGGACCGAAATTTTTCCCTGAAGCACTATGGCTCAGCTTAACTTCTCTATTCCTGATAAAGTTTTAAGTAATGAGGCCGAGTGTACGTTAACGACATAAGAACATGAAAATACTATAAAGATAGGGGTTTTCAATGAAGTTTTCACTGTCCGAGAAAAATCAACGGGCTAACCTGTTGTACGAAACTGTCAATCGTGCTCCACACAAATGTTGTACCAAAAGGCGTTAAGATTTGAAGTGGTAAGAGCCAGTATAACTGATCTGCTTTTTTTCCATACTCGGTCAAATATGCATATCCAATGAAACGAATATGCACAGTCACCTACGGCATATAAAAAAGACATTGCGTTTTTTTGATGATATAAACTCTTTTTCGGCTTCTATCAGACTATTGGTCTGATCGGTCGCGTTCGATAAATGCAAAATCTTGAGGCAACAGGTCAGCTTCTTAAGCAGGACCTTGTCTCTGATAAAAGTTATTTTCTAAAACAACCTAAAGTTATCTATCAATAAGTCGATAGATGCATTTCAGATTAAGCAAAACGTCACACGCTTAATTCTGCAAATTTATTTATTTTGACTTTTTGAAGTCTATTTATCGGCAATGTATGCATATGTATTGCAACGATGAGGACAACCTTTCGTACCAGAGCAATCAGCATGAATCTTCCGATAGTACTTGGACGCCTTAATCCATTAGTTCGTATCAGGAGTGAGGATGTTAGTATGGGTATGATGAAGAAGCAGATGACGAAAAGGAAGTCGGCATTGCAGTCGATGAGACGCCATAGGACAGACGACTGTTCGGCGCCTGAGATTACTCCAAGCAGAACGAGCGTACACGCCAATAGAAAAGCTCGAGCATTGTTAAGTATGCTGACCCTATTAGGAGTTACAGATTCGACCTATAATTATCAGTAGGAAAAATCACATCACAGTGTGACTTAGCCCAAAAGTACGATCCTTAGAGAATAAATTTGCGATTAATCCTTGCTCATGATAAAAACGCACATATCTGTAATTGTTTGTTTCGACAAGGATTCAAACAAAATATTTTGTCATATAGGTAAATAAAATATTATACGTAATTATTTCTCTTAAGCGTTATTGAGTAGCAGTGATTTGCAGGAAAGGTTTCGGCTTACTTTTAGAAGGCTTACTTTCTTGTCCGGAACAGGAAACTTGGACAATACGACGAAAGCAAGGATTAATGGCAGGGCAGAGAAGAAGATGAATACTTCAGAAGGGTCTCCGATAATAGACAACAACTCACAGCGGAAACGCCAAGCCACAAAAGATACGACACTCACTAAGAAGCAAATAGCCCCATATTGAAAAGGCAGGTGGTCGCCTATCTTGTTCAAGTAGTCCAACTGGCCGAGGTACCCACGATAGAGACCGTCGCATACCTAATTTATCAAAAATACGTTTATAACTCGTGCCTGATAATAAAAAGCTAAGGCTTTCGAATCAGTATGGTGGCATCTGCTACACCGTGTATAACTGGCATGACTATAACATTTTCAAAAGATTACGAACTGTTGCCCATAGCCACTAACTCGCTTCGACATCTGCCCGTACTGCCGTTAAGCCGGCCTAGGTTATGTGAAATTGTCTTAGTTATATGTTACGCACTAACTAATTCCCCTATCATTCTGTAGTAAAACCGCTGATAGAAACGGTTTTCATTTTTTTCCTTCGGAAGCACTTTGTGAACGTAATGTAAAATAGAATGAAAAATTAATGTGACACAATTGGGCCAGCCAAAACTATGGTGGACTTGAGTTCAGCATCCGAAGCAAAGTGAAAAGTTTGCTAACGTGAACTTCTTAGTTTACACATCTATTTTTCAACACTTTTCATAATCATCGTGGCCTATTGTAATAAAATATTAATCGATATCGTCCTAAAGCCTCGGTAAATAAGTGCTTCTAACTAAAGGTCGGCTTAGCTGCATTAACTTGATATAATAAAGCTCAATTTGAAGCCAGCAAAAAGGCAATTTTTTTTCTCAAACTAATAATTACCGCGTCCTATAATCCAGAGACAATAAAAATACATTGACTTACCTGCGATGAGATTTTGAAACCGGTATCCAGAAAGGTGAGGAGCGTGAGCGTAACAAGGTACGTTGTGAGGGTAGAAACTGGTGCTAGAATGTAATTTAGTCTGGTCCAAAAATTGTCTGTTCCATCGTCTGACGTGCTTTCAGTGATGTTTGTCGCAGCCTCTGAAATATTGTGTTCGTCCGTCTGACTTACACTAGGAGCGCCTAGCCCATTTTGATCAGACTGATCTTGAAGAGTTCTTGTCGTTCGACGGATCTCAGCAAAGCGGCGATCCTGAGAAGCTGGCTCTATGCCTTTGAAAACCGAGGGACCTGGGATAAAAGGTGGAAGATGCTGACGTGCACGCTCCATCATAGGCGAAATCCCGATGAATTCAGGAAAGCGAACAAGGTCATTATTGTTGTTTTCATCATAGTCGTTACTTGCGACCATACCGTCACCGTCAAAGCCAGCTAAGTTTTTCGAATCTGCACTCTGGATACCATTGACATTCTCGGTATCGTGTCTTAGACGCACGCTGTTCAAAGGAAATTTGGATGTACCTTCAAGGACATTCGGTACCCATTCTGGTCGAGCGAGAAGTCTAGGAGGGTTTCGTCTAACGGCAACTTGGGGTCCAGTCGGCCTGAATGGCTTGTATGTAAGTGGAGAATGCTCAGGAATTTGGGAGAGATCTAAGCCAGGCCTATGTCCGCCCTCCGATGGTGGTGAAACTTCGGGCAAGGGTGACCAGTTTTGGGAATTGACTGTACGGTCTTGCAAGCCGAACACACCGTTCTTCGGTATAGGTGGCACAGGATCAGCAGCAAAAGTCGGCATCTCTGAGTTGTTCTTAGCTCTCCTTGTAGCATCTGCGATCTGGATATTAGACAATGTTGCAATCTCTGGTGGAAGTCTATCTGAGGCACCGTCAACCTTTCGAGAAGAAGGCCAAAGTGTAGCTGCTAGACAGTTGTCATTTTCCCAACTTGGGAAGGAAAACCGAATGAAAGTAGCATTGGCTTGCTTCTCTACTTCGGGTAAAATGAAACGCAAGTTCATGGGGCGAAAGCTATATATAAGACTCACTAAAGATACCAGCGTCAACAGTAAAGCAACGCCTGCCAGAACTTTGCGACTCGATGGCGAACGAACACATGTTAGCACAAGCGAACTCAGCAGAGCAGCGAGGACAATCGAACCCGCACGCAAAAAGGCCGAGGCAAACATTGAAATACCAATAAAACGTAGCACGAGTGGCACAAATGATAAAATTAATATTTCAGCACTTGAATGAAACGTAAAGAATAACGTTGCGCAGCGCCTAAATTGGTAAGAAAATCAAGAATAAACAACGGGGCTGTTAAGTTGTGGATATCGAATTATACAAGATTGTTCTTCGATTCCTATTATCGTTATACGAAAGTAAGTTTAAGTCCAGGTATAGGCACACATATATAGAATCTAGAATTTTGCTACTATTGTATTCCTTAGTTGAATAACTTTGTCTCCTGTGACGGTTGTTTCTATACAAGACATTTGGACACAACGGTCTCGTTCTGAACGCAATATAAATGGCGAATACATACTTGTTTTTTGCGAGTAAATAAAGTATATTATCCTGATGTGATTTTTACGTCATCTGGGTACTTAGTTGAGAGACATGTGTCCTGATTATTTATTCACTTTTGTACCTTTTGGCTGCGACGTTCAAGTATTGCATAGTCGAAGGAAACTCGAATCGCTCCGGCTCAACAGATGAGTCCTCTTCGTTCTTCGAGGTAACTAAAAATATTTAATAACACCATTAGTTAGTTCATCCCCGAGTTGCCAAACAGCCTTTGAGTGTAGACCGTTTATAGGTTACGTAATTGGGTCGTGAATATAAGTCGTAGTAGACACTGAGCGAAACCTCTGTGTGGGGCTACAAGATGGTAAGGGCTATTTTTTAGGGCAATATAAAATATTACATACAATAGATGGAGCTCGTTACGCAGCCATTCGTCAGTAATATAAGTAATGGCAGTGGTCGTTACAAAATGGAATCCAATATCAATGGCAGCACGAACGAATAAAACCATCATTTTTTATTAGAAGTATTTTTTAGTTTGTACTAAAGCCACATAGAAGTGAAACTTCAATACGACTGAATGAATGCTCGTGTTCGAAGATCGTACTTAGAATTCTGTATGAACCCATACAGGGGTGGAGTTTTGCATTTAAACCTTTTACTTTTACGATTTTGTCTCAAGCACAACGGCGTAGTAAACGGAAAACGTATTGGCTCAGTCTGCTGGAGGCGGCACGCTGGCAACAACCTAAAATAAACGTCATAGAAATTTGCCAAATATATTTTACAAGGGAGATACGATGAACCAGTTAACTATACTAAATCACCAATCAGCCTAACTAACCATCTTATCGACGTTTCTCTTATTGATGACACTGACGACGAAAAAAACGTGTATCGAAAAAATAGGTATCGTCCTACTAAATCTTAAGCAAACCGAAGTCAACTAATCTTCATGCAGTTTCGATCGTGCTACTTACGTGAAGCTCCACGAAAAAAAAAAACTCAATTGGGATGAATGTATGTTGAATAAGCTGGAGCTGTTTCTATAAAACATACCTTGGAGCTTCCTATCATTTCATTGCAGTCGCCTCGAGTCGCTCGAGCCCACGTAAAAGATCTGTGTATATCAGCTTTACTTCACCGGAAAAAAGTGAACTTGATCGTCGATATTAAGCTAGCCCAGCCCGTAAGCCCGCGTCTTGATGGTGTGTCTAACCACAAAGCTAACTAAACAGCTCTTGAACCCCATCCAGCGTAAATGAATACTTTTTTTTTTGCATTCTACATCAGTTGTTTCACTGAGAAAATAAGTAAGGCATTATTACGAAAAATCTCTGACGACCTAGATTTCGAAAACTAATATTGGCTAATATTAGTCTGCCACTACTCTTTAATAACACGAATACTAATAGTAACTAATATAAAAGCTTGAGGACAATTAAATGTAATCCAAAAAAAAGCACATAAACTTTATCTAGTGCGAACTCTTCAAGTGTGAATAGAGACAAGGCCCTGGATCAGAGTCATGTTCGTTTCCGAGACTTTTTGTCTTTAGCTAATTAGCTGCGGTACATAGCCGATGACAACGGTTCGGCAATATGAAACGACTGTATCTCTTACGAGGTACTTATTGATCTCAAAATGTTCGGGAAACTGTACATCTAATTCAAAGGCCAAGCGATTCGTTCCTGAACAATATTTTCTCACTGCAAGAGTAATCGATCGAGGTGGCGTCAAATGTTAGATAGCCGGTGACTTCAAATAGCAGGCCTCAGATTCGCCTATGGGCAACATGTACTCTCGATCTATACACTTGTTTTTCGTGTGCTATTCCCGATCTCCGCAATCTCGTCATAACATAGGAAATCGGGCTATTAGAAAACCGAACGAACACGACACTTCAGGTTACTTAGGGAAAGGCCTGTAAGATGGCACTACGGAGCACAATAAGTCGCTAAGTAAACTCGGTATTAAAGATAGGATAAAATCGTTTTGCCATAGCGATCGGTCTAGAATGGCGATAAATTTGATGATCGCTTGAGATCTTGGTGCGTTCCCAAATGACCAACTACGTCGATTGTGCATAAACAAGGCAGGGTTCTATTTTATTGAACCATAACTTGTGCCCAAGTATAATATTAAATTGTAATTTGTATCTATGGCTCTATTAAGCGATCAATACTGCAGATGGTTCACCATACACATCTCCCAGATATCTTTGAACACATATGATGAATCCCGTTACAGCGCAATCAAGAATCTTATTTTCCGTCTTAAATCTCATTTGAGCAATACGCGGCAATGCACATCCCATACAAAATGGCTGCGTCGATGGTTTTGTCAAATCGACCTTTGCATCAGATCCCATAATACATGATCAACGTTCACATATTCAGCCGGTACTATCACAAAATATTGAAGTAATAATAAAGTCGTCAGATAAATCACTTGGGATTCAGTAGTTCAGAACCGCAGGTAATAGCTGAAGAGCCTTACTTGCAAGCGTGACGAAAGGTTTCTATGGTATCAGCTCTTCGATATAGACACCTAGGTTGTTCCTGAAGGATAATGGCATGAAGGGCGATAGCATGTAGTTCTGTGGCAGGAGTCGTTAGCTCTTGCCCGTTTCATAGAGCCCACAGTAGATGTACGGTACACTGGTCTCTGTATGAACGGTGACACAAATTCGCGCTGTAAATTCAACGTCACCGAAAGAAACTATAAAGCTGTGTTTCTAACCAGCTCACTGGGAGATTACTTTCCATGGGTTAACCGTGTCTTACATTCTGCTCACGTCGATTATATAACAATTCTTTTGTCACAGACTTCGTCTGTCGACTAAATGAGGCCAGCCACAAGAAAGACTAGGGATACTGCTTGGTCTCCCTTTATGCTGGGATAAATAGAAGAACGTCTATACGTGCATTTGGAAGAACCTGCTTATTATTCATTGGTGATCCGACAGTATGGGACCGTCATTCTGATGTATTGTTTGTCTAGACTCACACGTTTTGTTATGCGCTATCATATTGGCGATAAAACATCGGATTCATTAGGGACTCCGAGTAAACTGGCTACGAACGAGATCAACTTTAGAGAATAGCAGTTCGGGAGTAGGGCAACTGGGAAGCAGAAGAATGATGATCGTTTGCTTTTTTCGGCCAGGCCAATATCGTGCCTATTGCATCTATTCAAATAGACCAGTTGATAGATGAATCATCCAACTGTAACATTCTTTTTAAACTTTCCAACGTAGTTAAAATCAACAAACACACAAGCTTCCAAGAACACCTGCGCATCAGGATTTCGGCTAAATGTACGAATTCACCACATGAATGCTTTCAACAGAATCTTGTCCCTTCTGTAACACTTCACGATTGTTTAGACGTAGCAGTACCGATTGCGGGTCTAGTAGCTGTTCAAATAACGGCGCTTGAGACGCGTCCGACCTGTTCTACTAAAGAAATGTTTGCTACTTTCCAGGAAGTCGTTTCAAGATCTCTGTCTTGTTATATCCTCGTGCTGAAGGCCCGGAAGCACTTTGCCCTTTTACATCCGTCAACGAGATTTCCTTTTTATGCTGTTATCGCCCGAAAGGACTACATTGTGTTATGACGGTGATTTGTTGTTGGTCCTTACCTATGAAACACTGCATCGATATATGAATGTATAGAGAACAATGGCCGATGTAATAGAAAATCAGGCTAGACGTTCAAGCGAGCGAACAAGTGACGCTACCTTATAGGCAAAACTGCAATAAAAAGCCGGAACTAGTTCACGTTTAAAAAGCGAGAAAAATTATCGTAATTCATCTACACTATATTTGTTCACGGTACATCTTTTCCAAAAGTATATTCGTGTTTGTCAGGGTACCACAGATCGGAATGTAATTAATAGTACACCAAACTCAATGAAATGTTTCCGCGGAAGGCTGACCTTGTTTTGATGTCAAATATACGAAGGTATTATTTTTGAATATTCGCGGCGCTGTTGTCGAAATATCGTTAAATTCGAAGCCTTTTCATGAGCTTCACTACTCTCCTCTATGAGCTAAATAAGAAGCTTATTAGTGATGAGTTCCTTAGCAGAACAAATGGGTCTTTTTTATAGCTAAAGTAGTAAAATTAATTTAACAAAACTACGAAAAAGATTTGCATCTAAAAACACAACTTTAATCATTAGTTGTTCAAGCTTAATGTCACATTAATAGTTAAAATGTCAAATAGTTCGCTATTCTTTAAAAAGGTCGGCCTTTCCTGATTTCTACTTGACAAGATGGCGCGAAGTGACTCCATATTTAGAACAACTGACACATACAATATACCACAAATGATATATCCCATACCAAATACTTATTAATTAATGACACGGCCAATCTTGGACGAGATAGAACAGAAGGAAGACAAACGATTATAATGGCAGGTCAGCAAACTTAGAAAACGTATAAATGATGTCATATTTTGGTGAAACACATATATAACCACACATTTTACATATTTATATCATGTAATATAGCTTTGGGCCGAACGTACATTAGGCGTTTACGACACAAGATTGAAACGCATTACAGAACATCAATATTTAATTACTATAAATCCAAATATCATTATCTGTCATCAGTTATCATTATAGTATTTATATATTTAGTGATTCATGTTCTTTATGTGAGTCTTTTTTTTCTAAATTAAGGTCAAGAGCTACGTTATTGCTTGCGCAGGCTGGCTGCTCGGAAATGAATATAGGAACGCGTACCGCCTTGGCATTCTCACGGTACCTCGAGTTGATTTGCTGTTATTTCTGCGATCCAACCTACGATAAAAAAAAAACTCACTTTCTGATTCTGATGATTAATTTACTTTGTGTGATCAAATTGTTTTTCTTCTTTAACGGGTATGTCAGCCACCATTATATATATATATATATATATAAATACGAAGGGAATCACAGCAAGATCCGAATGCGTACAAATATTGCACGTTATGAGATTAAACACATTTAGATTTTAATCAATACATCGTTTGCGTACAACACAGAACGTCAAGCAAACACAACGTTTTTCTCTTCAAATATATGGAGTAACCCACTTCTAATAAAATAGATTTGCCAACATATAGAATGCCTGCAGTCTTGTCTATGATTTGACAGTTTTGTACCCATATGGTCACTGCAAGGAGTACGGGCAGTCGAGACCATATATAAATCTAAACCAGCTGCGACGCATGAACAATGTGATGGCACTGAGCAACTTTGAGCGATGTACGAACGAGTAACTTATTCCACACGATGTGTTCTCAGACCTTAGTTGAGGAAACATGTTTATAAAAGAGATTAGAAAATTTTAACATTCATGAGGCATGTTAAAATTTTCTAAATTATAGCATTCTCAACAGAGTTAAGTATTACTTTCGTTGGTATACACCTGTTTATAAGCAAGGTTAATACGGATTTGATGATCATTTTTTTAATGATAATTACGTTACCTGGTTCGTAAAGGCCCATCGTCAAGACAATCGTCCTCTCGCAAACGCTGCTTTGACCGGCATTTCTTAAATGAATCACCTTTGGCCGAAAATGTACCTAGGATCTGCACAGATTATTTGCAGAAGGATAAATAGTCCGTTCTAATAGTGGCTTGCATTTATTTTTGATTTTACAGTGCCACCAAGAGACTACTGGGAAAAGCTTACAACAAGTTGAACGGTAGAGTGTTAAATGCTTTTCGAAATACTTCATTGACGCACGACTTGTATTGCTCATCGACGAAAACAGATACCGCTAATATTTTTACCAACTTCCTCTTTCCGTTACAGTCTTCTAATATATCAGCTCTGTACTGTAGTATGCTGCTAGAAAAGATCGAACTTAATTGTTTTCATTTTTTCGATTTTTTTTATGCAGCGTCCTGCGTAATTATATGACAGCTCGACGAACTAACGCTAACGAAAGACACAACAAGGCTTGAAAATCTCCTGCCAGATCTAGCGGACTCCAATTATATTGGTCCTCGCATTAAAAAGGGTCGTATATTCGTAATTTTGGTAAGTCCATACGAAGCTGAACACCAACCGTTAGCTTACATTGATCTGTCCTACACGATTGAGAAGCACCAGGACTAGCTGTCGTGACTAATAAGAGCTTGGTCACCTATGGCAGGGCCTGTTTGTAAAATGCATATACACAGATACAGAGAATAATACAATTTAGCCAGAGACTATTACGTAACATGACTGCGCAGGCCACGGTTGCCATGCGGTTTGTGACCGCGCTGTACTCCCGATAGGTTGATCGTGGCCAGATCTGTCCAATACAGTCGTTATTGATGCTTCTCACGAACTTATTTCTTTGTTGGCGATAGAGAACACACATTAACAATCGCTGAAATAACATCACAGTAAGGTAAGCAGGACAATTAAGTTTCAACTTCTTACTATTAGTTTACTTATTGACAAGCTGAATGAATAGAAAACGGATTTAGATCTTGTGATTCACGCAGCTAGAAGCACATGATTATTAACAGGGATGTGTTACTAGCTTCGAGCTGGAAGCTGTTCTTGAACAAATTAAGCAACGTTCGCCGAGCAGTTGAATTATAACTAGATGGTTATCATTTCGTTACTGAAAATCAACTGAACGCTGAGAGGCCGAGTAAAGTTCTCACGTGCTTCTTGCCCATGACGCAATAGATGTGATTTTTCTAATCGAGCCCCTAGTTCGTTGCCCACATGTCCAACTCGGTTAAGTGGATACCGGCCCTTAATGCTAGTCATCGCTAGGACAATAAGAAAACGGTGTCTCTTTTATGCATAGTGCCAATTGTACTACCACTATATTAGAATTAAAGTTTGATGACGCATATAGCATGCACGTTGGCGGCTTACACATAGACAAATTTCCCGTCCTACTAACAAATTAACGCATCCGGAGTTACTTTATTAGTACGACTTATATTTGCATATTGATCCAAGACATCCTATAAGGGAAGCCATTAAACTGCACGTCTCAATTTTTGACCTGCGTCGTGTCCTAACATGGAGACTGCCAAAGTTGAAACTGACCGGCACAATAGCTTCGTGCATGCCACGAGTTGTCCTTAACACGGATAAAATAAGGCAAGTTATATCACAACCACATGCTTCTACCTGAGAGATCTAATTCAAGACGAAGGCTATACAAATAGGACTGACCCAAATGTCGGCTAAATTTAAGCGTTGACCGAGCGTAGACATTAAACTTTGTTCTAATTGCCAGATGAAGCGATTTTGAAAGAGATAATAAAGCTACGCGAATTTATTTTGTCAAATGGAGGAGCAGGGACACGCTTTCAAATCTGCACAGACGTGGATGAGCACTTCACGAAGTTCACTTACATTTTAAGTGGTAGGCACGCGGAATGAATATATAAGTTTTTCCCTTGCCCTGTACAGAGATACGTAGAATATAAAAATGGCCTAAACTGAGAAACGAAATATTATATTTTCATGAGAAAGATCTGTGAAATACATCTTGAATAAACTCGAATAATACTTTTTTGTGTAGTTCTACTAAAATATGGCAAATAACCTGGCTCCCTTAGTGCAATAACGGATAGTTTATTCAATTTGAACATTTACAATGGGTTAAGATTTTTAGGTAGCAAGAACTTCAACTTTTCTGTCAACACATCGTATTTTTATACGCCTCACGTTCTTCAGGTCATCGTACAACTCTCACGATTCCAAACACATCTACTTTATATAGTTCTTTAACCCAATTCGATACCAAACGCCAGTGCAGGACACGATTCTGCGATAATTTTTTATAAGTACAAACAAGTACAAAGTATATATAAAGCCCATCACGGAAGATAGGGCGGTAATATTGAGGCCGATACTTGTCAAGTAACGGACTTCCAATTTCGTGCGCTTAATCCAGGCTGTTTTTTATTATACACGTGAGGGATAGAGATACAATATGAAACCAACGGGATGCATTGTCCTTACTCTACGCTGTAGGCAAAATACGCTGCCTCCACGGCTGCTACACGACTGTATTGCTCTAATCAGGGAGCATCCGATAATAGTTCTTGTTTCATTGTCGTTCAATTATAGGTTCAAAAAAGCTTACGATGTCTAGTCACAAAGGCGATTGCAGCAACCATCGACCGCCTTCAAAGCGCCTGCGCATCGAGAGAGGGGAAAACCTGAGTAGTGGCCCTTGCTACTTGCGCTGCTTCAGATCCAGACTCTATGAGTCATAGAACATCTGTCAGCTAGTTGTGCTTCGTCATATCCTCAACTAATCAGTACAATATTAGCAAAAGCTAGTATTTTAGTTAGTCTGCTTAATAAGATTCGAATGGGATAGTTATAAAAGGGCATTCGTCCAATCGTGCAATCGATCCTGGCTTGGACAGGTGTTCCAGTGCCTTTGACACGTAGCGATTGAGCACATTATAGGGTATGTATATAAAATATATATAACACATTGCCTTATGGTTGCGTTCACTGAAAAATTAGGGGGCTACCTTTAGCCTTACGACAAACGGGTGCACGTTCTTCGGAGACTACCTGGATCTGGTTTTACTTTTGTCAGACAATGTCTGTCTGGTTGCTTGAGGTAAAGAAAACACATCTCATGCTTGCTGTAATTGCAGTCTTGGGGAACTTCTTAACTATCGAGAACTTCTCAGACAGAACGCCGTGGGGAAAAGTTTTATAGCCGGAACATCATGACAAGCAGGAGAACCTGAGGCGTATGACAGCAACGATGACGACCAGGATATTGAAGATGCGACTCAAACGAAGAGGCAGCAAATTTTGACGATGATTACCGTCGACCGATTTCAACGGTCTTAGCATTTTCAAGGGAGGTTCAGGGGTCCGCTATCGCACATGAGAAGTTATTCTCAATCTGGTATCAACTTACAAGCAACATGCTCTGTGTTGCTGGCCTCCGCAAATGCAATAGACTTCCACGGATTTTAAAAAGATTTGATAACTCCTTCAATGTTCTACAAACAATGTTCAGGCGGCACAAGGACAGTTTGAGTTTTCCGAGATTCACGAAATAGAAACCCTTCTAAACCTAAAGCATTACAGGAGCGAGTCGCTTTAACGAAAAAAACAACTCCTAGAAATACTTTTTTCGCTACATCACTTTATTAAAAACACGTGTTACTATGTGTAATAACGTATTCAAAGGTTTCACGACCTGGGTAGAGCTCCGATTGTTGGCAAAATAAGGAAAAACAGATCTACAGCGCGTCAAATGCGGTTGTTTTTCTTTATATCGAAAATCAATTTGGGAGTCGTATCAATTTATATTATATACAGCTTTGGTTTTTTTAGGCTATAACTTAATATTGACTCTATTCGACCTTATAACCATGATACTATACACCTTTATACAAAGCCTTGTTAACTTCTCCATCTATCCCCACGTAACCTAAAGGAACTACCGTAGCTTAAGCGCGAAAAACTTGAAGTCCGCTACAGGCACGTAAGCAGTCCGCCTCGGCGTAGTGTGAATCCACGGTGTAAAAGCGCCGGAAGTCCCGTGACGGCCGTAATCACACTTTTGCAGAACTTCGACTTAACTATCAAAAAGTTCCACGATATTAGCAGCGACGGAGCGCCAGCGATGAAAAAAATTCAATAATATATCTATACAGAATTAAGCATGGTATATGTTGTGCATTTTGCATTGTTGGGTGCTCTGGACAAAATATTTCGGTGGTAAATCCTTATGAGAGGCATCTGATGACGAAGCTAAGCAGCGATAATAACAAACAACAAAGTGGAGACCCGATTTTTAGGGTGTCCCCAAATAAAATGCCAGTAGCGCTTGATAATGACTGTTGTAAACTGTTCTCAGCCATGTTTTTCGTTTTAGGAACGCGGCACGCTCTGCTGGAGTGCATAATGGGCTCTTAGGAATAAAGCAAGAACTCACAGAAAAGGAACTTTAAATTACGAGGTGCTTGAATGTTCGCAAAAACTCTTAAAGCGTTAAGTCAACCGTGACCAGATTAGAGAAATGGCACAGGCTTTGGGTCAGATTCAGCAGGAAAGTTTTTCGAAGTGGTGGGGGGAAGGCGGACAGAACCTCGGAGTATTTCAGGACGTCGTTGAAAAGCATGCTGGTAAATCTTTTGCTAAAGTTGTGTTCATGACCTTAGCGAGCCCAATGGCTCAGAAACGAGTATTCGTCTACAACCCAGTCGCTTTGTCAACGGATGCCTTTTAAAGACTCCTTTTGATAAGATTTTAATTAAGCTTCCAAAGCTTAATTTTAATGAATTACGAACGGCTTTGACGTTATTTATAAAGCGTTACGACTACGACGGACCAACCGCGGCCAGCTACACATTGTACCACTTTAAACTTCCTGGGTTAAGTCTGCCAAACATCAAAACTACAAACCATATAGCGGCGGTCGCAGTCACCATACAGCTTATCGAAATGTCTTACGAGTTCGTATTCCGCGTACATATGGTAACCTCTACATTTAGCCCTACAAACCCTTCTTTACCCAATGAGACAATGCTTTTATTATGTCTCAGAGTGAGAATTGAGTATCAGGGCCAGCTTTCAGATGCACATTTTCGAATAAAAATATATATATACGCAAATACATTGTGCAATTTCGTTAGATGTGATCTCGTAGAAATAACATCACGGTATATTTGTCTTTTAGGCATGGTACATCCAAAATTTTCGGCAAATAGCATAATTGTTTGCGATTTTCATTAATTTTTGTGATATTAAGGAGAGCGCTTGTTATTGTAATCCTTAAAAACTATTTATAGTCATAGTTTCTTGCAACGATTTCTGCAATTCCCTTTTCTAATTGTGTTCAAAGTATGTAACAACTTACCGGAAGTTTTGAAAAAAACCTTATCATCTTGCATGTAATAATTACATCGCGTATGTAATCTTAATTAAATACTCCTGGATGTACTCTGGAGAATGATTTTAGCGGCGTTTTATAAGGACAGTTTACGCGAATTATTTTGTTTTGAAAAGAATATAAATGTTGCTAGTACATCTTGCGCCAGCTGTTTGAAGCTTTAAATTGTTTCACAGCTTACCTTGTCATATATATAAAAAAAAAATTGAGAAAAAAATTATTTTATGTAACGTATATTTTATGTAATAAAAATTATTTGATAAATAATAATGTATAAGGTTATTACAATACGGCGGACGTTCAAATAACTTTTAAATTAGTTGGAAGTCAGGCTTAAATGGGGAAAATAAGCGAATTGAAGTCAAAGTTAGATTTTCATTTATCCAATTCGGGAGGTAATTGAAACGTAAAAATGAGACCTGGAGTTGCCATCAGATTAACAGACCGCGTGCCATCACAATAGTCCATAAGCTTCCTGAAGAACTCAAAAGAGCAGGTTGCATTTATTGTTTCATTTTTAACGAGTAGCTTATGCCAGCAGACGCCCTTGATGTTCATCGCAAGCAAGTTTTCGATGAAATTTTGAGAGTTGTGGCTTTCGAGGAACAGAAACAGACACTAAATGGTGTTTTTTTTATTATGACCCATTTTTCTTCGAACGGACTTAAGCAGTTTTCAATGAAAACTTTCTAGCGGATTGTGCAGCTTTGCCTGCTAATGGCACATAGTTCAAGTTATTGAATTTCAAAGTTCATTGCGTTCGCTTCTAACGGCCTAATATGCTTTGTATTATATCGATCATCATATTACTACAGATCTAATATATATATCTCAAATTTTATCGCTGATATTCTTAATGGGTGCACAACTCGAATGACATAAAAATGATTGTCTCAGTTTATTCTATTCTGCTGACAGATGCAAAACTGTGTTAGAGACATTAACTCTGTTTCTATTTCGCCTTCTATAGTAGCCCTAGTGTTTGGGTTAGAAGTTATTTCGCGTATTGGAAAAAAAACCCCAGTAAATTCAATTTGCATAACGTTAATAAAGCCCGATCTTCTTTATAAACAAAAAATAATGTATGGTGCATGTCCTACCTTTCAGTGCACCCATATATGACGTATGATATATATGGTGTGTAACCACCAATACGTCTATTTAAAACGTACAGTAGATTTACCGTCCCAACGCGCCTATATATAATATATAGTGTATTAGCCATCCCTAATAAACGCGACATGAGGTATTGTGAGGTTCGCATCAGACAAAGTCTACCTTAACTAGTAATAAAAGTGAGGCACGATCCCATTTCCTGTCGAAAAGCAGCTCAATAGGTCTATTTTCCTTCGCGATTTTTGTAGAAATCGCAGCTTACGCAGCTGCTAATAAGCAAGCCACTGATAATAGAAGCTTGTGCTTGTAGTTTTCTTAGCACCCAAGAACATTCGGTATATACAATGAAGATAATTAAACGCTTACCTGCGATAAAAAATTAGGTAAGAATACAAATTAGACGGCGCCACGCAACTAGCTTCATTTTAAAGCATAAGTACTTCGCAGACTGGGAGTTTCATCTCTCTCTGATTGAGATTTTTATTAAATCGATGTTGATATTTAATTTCAAGAAGATTTATTTTCAGGGGGCCATATAGTCTAATACCTGTCTAGTATAATACAATAACTGAACGTATCAGCATCCTGCAATGTCGAAAAAACTACTCCACAAAAATGATGGTGTACTAGACGGTAATCATAGCGTACTCTTTGCTCGTTTTTATTGATAAATTGGTAAACATTGTTAAATCTTAAAATCATCGCTTGAGTTATAGATAAACCATGTTTATCTCCTTCGAGTTTTATCGGATAGTACCGATAAAAGGGATAATACCAGTATGAATATGGCAGAGCGTAAGGGTAGAAGTAATACGACCAGAAATAACAAAACGCGTCGGCGAAGAAGAAGATGACGAATAATAAGTAGGCCTGGCCAACAAGGACGACAGGAGCATGAAATCGAGAAAAGGCCAGCAAAATGGTTAACGCCATGCACGGAATTATGGGATTATTACGCAAAATATACTAAGGCCGCTACAAATCATTTACCACGAAATCACACACGACCCAAGATTTGATAATAGCCAATTTTGTTTCAAATTAATTCGTCTGCATGTTTTAGCAGAAAAAACAATTTGCAAATCACAACTGACATATCATTTTTACCGTAGCATACTGCAAAGGTCGAAAGCTGCCGCCATTCTGCGTATGGTAACATTGGGAAGTTTGTGATGCTGTTTCGGGCAAATGGGGCCCTTTTCTATGAGGTGAGTTCACGACTGGAGGTTCCTAGATGTTATAATGTTAAACGATTTTGTTTAGCTACTATTTTCACAATCAATCAAGCGACACCTATCATCACTGACGAGCCGAAATCGTTTCGCTGATCTGAACACTACCCGCATTAAAAACTGTTCGCTGCATTGTGTGTAATAGTAACAGATCACGCTGGCACCAGAACTGGCCAATTGAAGAGTCTCACGTAGGGACAAGGATCGGAAATTGCAATTGAAACTTACGCACCCCATATTATGCCGTGATGTATCGCTCGTAACGTTGCTGCACTTGTATTGTTAATAGAGACAAAAATAAAATCGAAAACAAAAATAAAAAGAGAACTATTTTTATATGCGTAATGGTTTTCCAATAACGTTGACCAACTAAATTTCTTGGCCATCTAACTGCTTCAGACTGTATTCATTTAGCGTGAATAAAATACATCACGGCTATCCACTATTTATTTATCTTCATACGCAAAAATTATTTCGGTCATACTCTAATGTAACAGTAATGACAGCATAGTAAATAGTCATATAAAACACAGTAACTTAGGGAATTCTCAGTGTGAATCACTTGTGATGGGCAATGTGAAGGCACTTCAGTGAAGAAATAATTTTAGGTATAAAAAATTGTTTCTATTATCGCGAATATAGCAATATACAATGTGCAAATGATGTATCGCATATAACCTACAGGATCCCTTAAGTACCATGTGCTAGAAACACAAAGTGGTTGTAAGTTTAAAAAAAAACGCACTTTTCCATAGGATGCCCGTTATTTTACATTCATTAACCGCTTTTACAACATGTATGCCGAGTAAACAGCAGACAAAAGGCGCACCAGCGACATTTCACGTCTACACAAATGATTCATTTAATTAACTGAAAGTCAGTCAGGTGATAAATAAGTCTATTCGAAGAGGAAGGCGCAGCACGTTCATCTTACGTGTAGCTTTGAACCAGATTATTATTATTGTTTTTTACATTTATTTTTCACGTTTATTACTTTCAACAAATTATGTCATCATGAGCTCTACTAATTTGATTGCTTTTTTTCCTAGCGTAGATAACGTTAAATAAAATAGAAAACGATTTGTAGCAGCAGACATATTATACCCCTGGCACTAAGGAAAAGCTGGTTCATCGTAATGACGGAGATAAAGAAAAGTTTGCTTTCGCAAGATTAGGGAGGATCAACTACTGATCAGTGCCTTCGCATTAAACGAACTTCCATCAAGGCCGTTCTTGGCTGCTTGGCGCCGACCGCATGCGCTGTTGCCGATCTTCATGCAGCACCCAACAGATTCGAAGAAAACCTACTTATGTCAATAGGAAGATACCAAAGTTATAAAAAAAAAAACTCAACAATCCATATCTCATCCTACTCGTATCCGATTCAGAATATCAAAGTTAATTTTTAAAACTTAAATTTGGTGATTGACTTCGTAGGATCCTTGTGAAGCATGAGATTCATGAAAATCCTACAAAAAGTCATTGGAATACTCCGGCATATACGCAACCCGAAGCAGACGACTGCGCGTCAGCGCATAAAAAGAAGGACCCATTTCAATATGCCTGTCCTTGCGTTGTTTATACCGTTAACAGCACGACATGGAACAGCCTGACGAAAAGCCCTAATTAAAAGTTAAGCCCTAATTAAAAGAAAACCCCTGATAAAAAAACAGCAAAATAAACCGTAGTCTTTCAAGAAGATCCAGAAGCTATCAGTCAACGGCAGTGAAAGATAAACGATCCTATCTATCGCATCGATTTGCATCGACAGTTGCACGACAGCCGTTCGAAGTGGGCATTTTTTGTTGTGTGCTTCTGTAAAGACGTCTGTTTATGCGTTTGCGTACTAAACAGTATTTGAATCGCTGCCTTCAAACATCTGCTCTTTTTGGCATGAACTGTCCAGCCATCTTCGATTCTTTTCGGGCGAGAAAATCTTCACCACTGGTGCTGAACTCAATCGAGGAAAAAATGGCTGACTCATCCATCGAATCAAATTACTTATGTGCGATCATTTGTAAAACAACGTGAACTAAACAGAATGACGCCGTGTATCCGTGCCTTTTTTTTTATCATAGATAAACCAGTGGGAAAAATATATAAGAGGCTAATGTGTTTAGTGCGCCAAAACGCTGTATTGAGCAAAACACTATCCGCGATTCGACATGATGAAAAGTCTATGCCAGTAAGTATAGTTGTTTAACTACCTTCTACGGGCTGCGGAGAAATAATGTCGTGCGTACCGACTTGAGAGTTTAAGGACTGGTTTTGTTCTATATTTTCCTGCCGCTGCTGTCTTGTGCTATGTACTATGTCAAGTTATTTCAGAATTTTAGGTAGAATCTATTTAGGAAAAGAAAAACAAAGAGAAATGATATGAAAGAAAGGAAATTCAACTTACGAAGATAGAGGACACATTTTGCGACCGTCAATTCATATGGCTAATTTGCAGAATAGTTTATTACATTAACTTGAAACTTAGCTGCTGACTATTAACATAAATTGATATTTACTATAATCCATCCAATCAGAAAAGTAGCAAAAATGTCCGAGGCTTCTCGATGTCCAGCCATGCTTCCTGGATTAAAGCAACGCATCCACGTGCCTGCATCTCTAAAAATTCAAATCGCAATAAGTACAGGATAATCGTAATGAGTTAATTTTGACTTTTGAAAACTCGGGTAGTCTCATAAAGCAATATAT